GAGCAACATTAGCACGAAAAGTACAGTGCTAAACAAGAACAAAGATAGTAATACAAGAATTATTCTAGAATGGGCAATATTTCAAAAGTAAATGCTAGTGAGGGGTAGTGATGATCTTGGGCGAAGATCAAATGTAACAATGTATAGAAATAGTATCTATTTATAGCGTCTATCGCCTGTGTTACAGCAATTTGATCATCTAGTTCAAAGTTCGACCATAATGCACTCTGGTTTCACGTGATGAAATCCTGACATTAACTCCATGATGACCACCAGGTGACAGATTATGTGTGACAAATAGAAGCTACGTGACATGGGCGTCTCGGCTAGTAATTTATCCTTGTGTGATCCGATTTACAAAACATCTTCCATATTTATCAAAAAGCAGAAAATAAATAGAAAAAAAAGGCAATGTCGCAAGAGAAAGAATTTTATAGTAAAGTGTGTGTTGCTGGAAGCATCAAATTTATCGTCGGCGAAGCAACTGAAGAAAACATTCAACTGTCGGACCTTGACAAATTTTCTTGTAATCTAGCGACAATACTAGCAAGAGACAAAGAAGTGGTGGCAGTGAACTTGAAAATTTTACCCAACAAATGCAAAGTTTACATCGCTAAGAACAATGCTTGGAATGTTGAAGATCTTGAGTATCTCAACAAAGTTAAAGAAACCCTGATAAATGTGTCTAAAGATGCTCCCATGACGTTCAAACAGGCACTTAATAGAAATGATATGAGAGATCTATATTTTGCTATAATGAAGTACTGTTCTAAAAAGCTCGAACATAGATTGAACAAACTTAGGAATGATATGGCCAATAAAGAAGGCAAGATAGACGATGAATATATTCAGTCTTTCTTAGATCATGCTAAAAACAAAAAAATCAACGCCGATGATATATATAACGATAAGAAAAAATCCGCTATATCTAGGTTTTGTGGCGAGTATTATCATACAGCAAAAGATGATCCTACATTTCCGAAAAAATTTCTAGGACATATTAAAAAGGTGGGATCTTATATTGGGTCTTTGATGGATATCACAAATTGTGTATTGAAAGATAGGTACAAAACCTTATTTTCTAGTATAGATATGAATCTATTGGATCCTATTCATGCCAATCAACCCATATATTCATGGAAAGATGTTGTCCAAAAATTCTTTCATGCTCAAGAAAAAGGATATGAAAATTTCAAGAAAACACGTTTGAAAGATTATGTGATAAGGAATAGACTGGAAGAGATATATGGTGGCGTAGATAAGCAACTGGAGCGTGAAAATGTTAGTCACATATATTTACACGCAGAATTGAATGTATTGACCAACATAATGAATCATGACAAGGAAAGAAAATTTATAGCAGTTTCCAAGAGATGCTGTTATTTATGTGAATCGTATATCAGATTTGCACAATCCAAAGGACATAATATTGCCTTCTCTGGATCACACAAGAAATTGTATCATGGATGGAAACTTCCAGATGCCTTCAAGAAAGAATTTATGTCAGATGCTCTATTTGATCTTGATCAGATCATAGAGCGTGAAATAGAACGTCATGTTAGTATAAGTACTAAGTCTGATAGTGGTGCAGAAAGCGGATCTGATAATCTAAATTATGATGATTTCGAATTTGTTGATGCTTTCGAATTTTAAGAAGTAGTTAAGTTTCTACTTTAAGAATAAGGGAAATATTTTATCAATAAAGTATAACAATTACATTTGAAGTGGAATCTTTATTTTGCGAATAAATTATTATTTAAAGAGCCGGAACAAAGTTAAACTAATAAAATTTTTGAAAATAGCAGACATTTAAAGGGAGGAAGCATCTCGAGCCCTAACCCATAAGATGAGAGTTCCTTTCCACTATTCCGAATTACTACCTAAGTTATTATTTACTTTGCTATCGATCCAAGCACCTATTTTATCTAAATTACTACCATAATCCTATCAAAAATAATTTTAAATTGGTTCCAGATTTCTGAAGTCATATCTGAAAATGATCGCTGGCTCGAATCAGAAGCTTCGGATTGATTACCGTCATTTTGTTGAATTACCATCTTGTTTATCCGGTAAGTTGTTTCGAAGTTGAATAACCTCGTTTTGGAGTGTTATAATAGATCCCTCGATTGACTCGATTCTGGACGTAATTTCATTAAACATAGTGTTACGCGCAGAAGGATCGGCATTAAATTCGGAATTATCCTTGGTGTCGATGGTGTCTTTCTTTGTGGTACGTAAAAAATAAAACGTGGCACCAGCGATCAAGTACATAGAGATTTTCTCTACGAACATCAATAGGCCGGCATAGTCCAAAAATGGAGCGATTCCCGAAACAGCAAGCGATGTCATCTATAACCGGAAAAATGTTCGTTAGCATATATACACGAGTATGGGGATGTATCACAGCATATAAACAAAAAAATGGATGTCGACATACATTAACAGAAATTTCTATTTTTCTGGATTCGAGGCTTTTTCCTCTCTTGTTCGGAAAAAGATAATGTGTTAAGAGCAATGGATAACGACACGTTGATTCATATATTTATCCCGACAATGAATGTAATGAATTGGCGGGGCAAAAAGGCGGGGATATTGTCTTGAGAGTATGAATTTTTTATTATCGTGGATATGATTTGTTAATTGTTTTATCCCCTTAGTTCGTAAAGGATACATCAAAGAATTCCTCGACCTTTTTATAAAAAAAAATCAGATCAGAATTTATTTATAGACGGGGGTAAAGGGCTAGAAATTGCCAGAATTTTTTATTACAAAGCAGACCCATAGGGGCGACTCAAAGAGTCATTGACAACGCCCTACAGTTTACGTCTTCCTTTACTCGTAACAAAAGATTACAACAACCATCGTAATACTGTTAAATCGTCTTCCAGTAATAGAAAGAAAAATATATATGTCCAGCTATAATAGAATAATGAAATATAACGTTATTACTAATACCACCAACTCCGACAATAATTCCAAACGTGGGTATTAACCTCTGAATAGTGGACCAATTCAAACAATAAACCGATCTTTTAACTAACCTGATTAATTTCTTTTTGTAATAGCTTCATCTTCAATCTGCGTTCTTAGATTCTAAAGTATGAGTTAGACTGCGAATGAAAGTAATACAACACTAAAACTACGTAACTGTTTATCCGATTTAGTATAGACATCTTATCCCCCTTTTTCTCTCAAGTTCGAAAAAAGATTAATAGTTATATTATATATAGAGCTAGATAGAACTAACTAAAAATATCTGATAAAGTCACGAGAAGGCAGGATACAAATTTTTTTCCTCTCATGTTCAGAAAAAGGAGTAAGTATATGTTAAATTAGCGAAGCAAGCACAAGTACCAAAAAGATATCCTATAATATCTGGCTTCGAGCAATTATTGCGAGAAGGCGGGAATATTTGAATAGATGATCCCTTACCGTTGATCTATACACGTGTTGTTACCCCAGATCCCACACCAGATTTTGTTAATGCGCTTATGTATTAGTAAAACTGACGTATTTAAATCATGTTAACGCTGGCAAAAAGTCTTTATTGGTACAAATAGAAATAGTACATGTACATGTGAAGTGGGATAACTATCTACCAGTTATTCTTCGGTAAATTTTTTGATCCTAGCCTTCTTACTGGCTAGGGAATTATCTACATTGACCCGATCCTTTAACAATCCAACAATCACACCTAATACCCGTTTTACGCCTTTTCGAATAGAGTCAAGATCTTCTTTGAGTGTCATTTTCGAAAGATTAATTCGATATTCACTCTTACTTGTGCAATATATCCCATCAGTGGCAAAAACGATGAAATGCCATTCTGTGGCTAGAAATAAAAACGTTTTCTATTAGTGGAGCCAGCAAAATAAGGGATTCGGGAATATTTGTAAGTGCGACATACCTGTAGAAACTATTCCGTAGAGGTAGTCATATTCATCCTTGAAAGCTTCATCCGCTGTACGCTTCTTCTTATTGGTGTGGTACGCACTCTCCAGTTGCATGATATTCTGGAGGTAACCGATTTCAACATTACGAGGCTTTCCTTCTGCTATACACATAAGATCCTCATTTCCTTTAATGGCATAATCAACACGACCAGATGCCTCTTCTCCGGAAACTCCTTTCTGGTATGCTATATAGATTTTTTCTTCGTTGGTAATTCGTCGGACGATAGCCAGAGATGCGTTTAATATCGACGTAATAAATACACAACGCGTGGCCTCATTGGTACTATCTTGCATTGTTTCCAGATTCGAAAGTCTCAACGTTATTTCATTCATACATTGGTCGAGAGCTTTGTCGTTATCATCGATTTTTACAGAATCTATACAACAGAAAAAACGAATTGCCGAAGGCAGACACTCAGTGGCTATTATATCTAGAAATTTTTGCCAAGAAATTTGCGAGACCGCTGGTCCCGGAAAATGAAATGCCAAGAAAAAATAACCTATCGAAATATCACATACCTGGAATAAATTGTTTGATGCTCGTAATATCCTCACCATTGACTTTATATTTGCGGAGTACGTCCTTCAGTTCTTCCAGTGTTTTATATGTCGAAAAACCTCTTAATTTTTGTTCTGATATCTCTTCAATAAATTTCGTAAGCCTTATAGCTGGTCCCCCTTTTAATCCAAAATTCGTAAAATCCTCTCTAGTCAATTCGAGAAAATCGGAACCACAAATTTTTTCTTTGCGCAAGATTTTGAATTCATCATTATCTAGTTTCAGATCACGTCTTTGTAAATAATCGATAAGTTCTTCTGTATCTAGGTTTCTAACAACGTCTGCCATCGTGCGGGTTGACCTTTCTTCCGTCAAAGTAGTGGATGTAGAAGCCGGTGAGGATGGTGAAGAAGCGTGTGAAGACATAGTGGTATTTTATATGATCAAAAAAATCTTGTTTATGTATCTCGCTAATAAAAGCTAGGTAATGCAATGCAAGTGAAAAATTTTATCGTATCTGTTTTTGGGTGATCGGTGGTTTATATACTACGATGGAAGTTACACGAACTTATTAGGAGATATGAGACCATTGAATCACGCCTAACACGTCGTTGTTTTATTATTATGAAAAACTTGCCCGTATTAAGGCGGATACAACAAATAAAATTGCAAAATACATTGCTATGACATGGTGCAAATGTAGATAAAAAAAAATCTAGTTATTGGGAGGGGTTACATAAACATGAATTTCATTTTCATCAGAATTCCCATTAAAAAATTTAGAAATTCTAACCGTTGGTTTCATAGACCCACCATTTGGAGTTAAACTAAGTTTGATTTGAGTAGAAGGAATGGTATCAAATAAAGGCGCCAACCGTTTTTTTACGATAGGTTTAAGGGCGTCAACCTTTTTGTCGTTGGAAATTTCAATCGTAAAAACTTCATTTTCATTATTGTTTCCATCGATTTGAAAGTTAAGACTAACAATGTCTGCCATTTCACTGAAATCTTATTTCACAGGTCATCGCTTACAAACTTTGTTATTCATAACACATACCTTAAGTAAAAAATGCGAGAATGTAAGAAATTTTCAGAAGAAACAACTTCGCCTGAGTAATGTTGTTAACTATACAATGTAAGATAAATTCAGTTTATCTTTATATGCTTTATTTATTTTGAAACTTACTAGAATGATCCAAACTTTATCAAGCGAATTTCCGATTTATAGAATATTAAAATCATATAAATACCAGAAATAGAGAAATCTTCAAACCTGTTACGATTCAGCCTCCATAGAAAGTGTCGTCATATGTAACTAAACACCAAGGTCTATGAATATGCGAGTGTTTCGTCATAGACGCATAAATGAGACCCCTTCTGGTTCGAGATCGCTCCTGTAAATCGAAAGTTGGTTAATCCATGTAGATCTCAGAGATTGCGAAGATTTCGACTCCTTACGACATAAGTCCCTTGTTATACGCACTAATGGAGATTGATGGTCTGCTTCTCCTTATCACCTTTTTGAGATTCGTTTTCGCTGGTTCTTATCGTGAAGCATGTATGAGATGGGAATATAAATACGTATAACAAAAAAAATATTTACGTATGTTTCACGAACTTCTATGCTGATCACTGATACGTCAGTTAAATATGTAATACAATATATACTTTCCTTATCTCATTATGTACCTGCTATAATCCACCTTCGGCAAGAAAACACGAATTAGATTTAAAAGATCCATAAGGGGAATGGGTTTATCATTTCTCATTAGTATTTTTACCAGAAATCGTATGTTATAGGAATTCTGAATTCCCAGATCGCAGATCGTTGAAATTAAGGGGTATGCTAAGCAATTAACCGAAAAAATAACGAAAAATACTTGGTTTTTGGGATAGACTGAACGAATGGGACGCTATAAAATACTTCGTTTTTTTCTCCTGTAAGTGGGTATCAATAATGTTTTTTAGCACTAATTCCAAAGTATATATCGCTATTTATTATACCACTTTTAATTAAGTTTATAAAACGTATTTGTACTTACCATTATTCTATATTTAGGAATAAAAAAATGAGCAGTTCTAACGATACCTCCGTTTCTAAGACCAATGAAAGTAATGTTCCTAAGACCAACGAAAGTAGTATTTCCAAGACCAGTGTAACAAATGTTGTTAAGATCAATCGTCCTAACGACCCAAACTCATCTAAGTGAGTTTCATACCGTATAATTATGTTTATGGCATAAGCTTTTAGCTGGAGTAATATTTGTTGAGATTAAGTCCTTTATTTCATTAAAAACAGGTAAGGATGAAGTAAGACAAGGTGATGTACGATTATCTCGTACCGAAATCGTGAGAACAGTATCTAATATCAATTCACCGGTGGATAATAATAGTTTATTAAAATTATTAGATAAAAAATAAGTATGAAGAATGTAGATGTCTCTACCCATATTCTTATAATGTAATTACCATTTTGCAATTTTTTATATAATAAAGAGAGGTAGTGAGCATCCGATTTTCTTTGTTTTAAAACATTGTATTCTCTCGAAATTATTTAAACTGATTTTTTTTATTGTATTATATATCCAAGTTAATCATGACAAATAACACTAATGCACGAAGTGTGCTTTCTCCAAAAGATAATAATACTAATCCAAATGAAGAATTTCCTCAATTATACGAGGTGCTTTTATATAAGAAAAAAGATATGACAGCTATTCAGAAAAAACTTGGTATTAACAGTAATATAAATTAAACGGTAGTGTTGGAGAGCAAGAAAGCAAAAAAACTTGCCGATTCATATGAATTGTTGTTAGAATTGGTGAAGGAGTTAATACCTATACAGGGGAAACTTGATATAGATATCAATCCTGTTTTAGAAGCAGAACTTAGAAGGGATAAAACCTTATCAGATAAACCAATTAGATTATTTGATTTGCTTTTATACTTAGAAGATGATATAGTGACAATTCAGGAAAAAATCAGTATTTTTGGTTATTCTAATCAAGAAAGGGCAGAAGAAGCTGATAAAAATGCAAGAGTGTATCTCCGAAAGTTTGAGGAATTTCACGATCCATTAGAAGATGTTCCAAGTGTATTAATAAAGAAATTCATTGACAAGAGGATAAAAATGTTTTATTTTACTGGAGAGGGGTTCCCATTATTTCCGAATGTTTCTCCTCAACAATTACACGAAATTTTCGTAAAAAATTATGCTAGCACTGATCAGTGCTCATGTCTAGAATCAAAAGTAAAGAAGGGAAAATTATCACAGATATACAGTATGTCATAATTTTTTGTAAATTTTATTTATTAATTACTCGATAACCGCTGAACCAAATACAATAAACAATAACTTGTTTG